TGTTAACTTGAAGCGACTTGACATGGCCATGCCAATGTATTTTTTACATTGAAGTTACCTTCTGACATATAAACTTCATTTATGTTTGTGATTGATGTTTAAGCGGATATTTTTAGCATGCAGCATATTTATGTTATTTATTTATATTCGCAGTGTATATATAGCATATTCAATGTTGGATTGCATCTTACACTACACTACAAATTAATTTAGTGCACAATTGCTGCTGAATCCAGCGCAATCTGCTTTGCGTGCCGTGGTTTCCTTCTCCCTCTGCTGGGATTTCATAATCAAGTGCGGCGACCAGTAAATAAACTAAGTGCGTCACATGCAGTCATATCAAAACAGACAAGAAGAATGGTCGCGCAATTAGGAAACATGTTTTACTGTGTAGTGCTACAACGATGTTCATCTTTGTTTTGTTTAAAAATCAAAATGCCTTGCATATAATATTGTATCTTATTATTGAATTGCGCCCTCCCCCCCTGTAAATTATTATTATGTATATCTTCTGTGGTGCAAAATGCTCTAATTTGCTTAATTATGCACGGTTCCAGGTTCCGGTTCCAGGTTCCGGTTTCTGTATCGCTGTATCGTTGTATCGCTGTATCGCTTTTTAGTAGTAGCCCAAGCGAATAAGTTATTGTGAAGAAGAAAAGCAATTACATTAAGATTAGTGTCAAGATAAGATGTGTTAACACAATTAGGCTAGAAGCGATAATAAGGTAAAAACCAGACACAGTACTAAAATGCGGTGCCCTGCAAAAAAAAATTCTGGCGTTTCGCCTACAAGTAAACTTATATAAAATAATACGCTAGATGGGGCCCCTAGATTCCTCCTGTTGGTTAATACATGAAGTTGTTTCTAGTGAGGGAAAAGTGAACGCGCGAGCCGAGGACCCACCATCGAATTTTTATCGAATTTCTAAAGCTTTTTCATGTGACGTCTAATGTTACGCTTACATTTGTTTTGGACTTTGGCCACTTTCAGTTCTATATTTTTTATAAAGTTTTGGTTTCTTAGTGTGATAAATCTGTGTATATAGTCTATATAATGTGGTAAATGCACCTAGCAGATATGACTTGATATGAAATCGCACATGTTTAATATCTGTCACCTCTGATTGCCCTTTAACCCCTGGTCTTTGCTACTTCAATCTTTGCTACTTCAATATATATTTCTTCTTGTCCTTCTTTTCAGTTCCATTCACAGCTCACTAGTCGCTGCGAGCATAGGCTGCGAGTAATCACTGTGCTTGATATAATTTGTACTCTTTACTGTGGTTCTATTTGCTTTTGATGCCCGCAGCAATCCCTACCTTGCAGGTACCCTAGTTTAATATTTAGCACGCTACATTCTCCTGTCGGCCGCCAGTTGGTCCGTACGTTAGAGTCGAAACTGCGTTTTAAAGCCTTCAAAATAACATATTTTGGGCTCAAAATACTATCAAAATGAAGAGAAAAGTGAGACGAATCCACTGGCATACGGCCGAAAACGAGAAAACCCAACAATTCCGAAGTTATCAAGGATCAAACGGACTGTATTTTTAATTAGTTTAGTAATTTTGAGCGATTTGTAAACAATACAATTTCGCTTATTAAAACTGCACATTAAAAGCTTCAAAATATAATATTTTGGGCTCAAACTACTAACAAAATAAAGAGAAAAGTGAGACGAATCCACTGGTATACGGCCGAAAAAGAGAAACCAACAATACGAAAGTTATCAAGGTCAAATGCATTGCACTTTTAATTATGTTTAATAATTTTGAGCGATTTGTGAACAATACAATTTCGCTTGTCTTTCAAAGGCCATAAATCGCTAGAATACTGTAGTTTAGTAATACATTTGACATCTGTGAGTATAATTTCTTACACTGAATCCAACGGTAGTATTTTTGTCCTTATTGGGCACATAAAACCAGAGATAAGACGCAGCAAAAAGTCAATCGTGAGAGTTCGAGTTGTAATTCGAAAGAAAACTTTCCTCGAAAAAAGGAATTCGGAAAACGTGAAGGATTATTTTGAGCGGCTTTTGTCTTTCAAAGGCGACAAATAGCTAGAATAGAAGTCAATTTTGAAATCAATTTTCCATCCGTAAACACAACTTTTCACGCTGATTCGAACAGTGGTATTTTTGTCCTTGTTTGACGCATAAAACCAAAGATAAAGCTGAGCAAACTGTCGATCATCATGAGTGTACACGATTAATAATAATTAATAAATTCCGAGCACGTGCAAGGAATTTTTGGTAGGCGATTAAGGAAACGTATTGATGCGAACAAACTAACAAACAAACGGACAAACGGACAAACTAACAAACTCACAGGCAGAATATAATGCGGCATGTAGTAAAACACTGACTACCGGAACACCGGAACACCACCGGAACACCGGAACACCACCATTTTGTTTGGGGTTAGGGTTTGGGGTTAGGGTTAGGATTGGGGGTTAGGGTTGGGGTTAGGGTTAGGATTGGGGGTTAGGGTTGGGGTTAGGGTTAGGTGGTGTTCCGGTGGTGTTCCGGTGGTGTTTCGGCGGTGTTCCGGTGTTCCGGTAGTCAGTGTTTTACTACATGCCATATAATGCGTTGCCAAAAATGGCACGGGCACCGCAATGTATAAGTGTTTGCTGCCAAGAGGAAATTTTAAGTTAATAGGTTTTGCGGGTCTTGTCTAAAAGTACACACGAGTGACCACGAGTGACCACGAATGACCACGAATGACCACGAATGACCACGAGTGACCACGAGTGATTTCTGTGTTTAAAAGTCATAAAATAATAATAAAAATCTATTTTAAGGTGGCTCCATAGGGTTTTTGCATTATACTACACTTTTGTATCCAGAAAACTCCTGTTTCGTCACTTTACATGACACGAAGACGAAATTTATTGGACACATTGCCAATGCTCTCCTGAACATTGCAATTTACTACTTTTGCGCTGAAAGTCCGTTACCATGGTGACACCGCGCTTAGGATAATTAAGCTCAAAATTTGTCTTTTTTCGGCCGTTTTAAAAATTTAACAATTTGCATAAAAGATCTTCCTCGTATAATGATCTTTTCTTCAATTTTAAAAAGATGATTTTTTTCTTCAATTTTATGGAACGTTACTTAGATTATGCCCTTCAATAAAATTTTAAGAAAAAATGATATTGAGCTTGTTTAGCCGATATTAAGAAATGTGCAAAGTTTTAAAACAATTTACCGAAGGAAAAGGGTGAAATTTAGGTTTAATTTTGGCATTTTTTGGCGAGATGTGACGTGTAACCCCCACCCCCCAACTGTGAAACTCAGACAAAAATCCGGTAAAATTCCAGTTAAAATTTTGATATTTTCAGGTAAAATTTGCGTGATAAAGAAATTATTTGTGTGAAATGATAACCATATTTGTAAAATATACAGTCAATTTACATCCAATTTGTTTGCGAATTTGCTTTAGAAAACGCCAGAATTGCAGTCCTAGAGCTTCAAAAATGGAACAATTTTCTGGGGGAGGGAAGACCCCCAAACCCCCGTTTTCTCCCGAAACTTAGTATGACAGTGCAAGTCAATCACAAGAAGCTTTATTATAATTATTACACTTTAGGTAAATATTTATTAAAAATTCAAATTTCAGGTAAAATCCTCCGGCAAAAATCCCCCCCCCCCGCGCCCAACTTCAGATGCTTTGCTATGTTCCTGTAGACTGACGTGTACAATAGTCGAAAAACTAAAAAAAATTTCCCGAAGGGATTTTTAAAATGGCCGAAAAAAAAAACAAATTTTGAGCCTTATCCTAAGCACGCTGTTGCCATGGTAACGAACTTTCAGCACAAAAGTAGCACATTGCAATGTTCAGGAGAGCATTGTGAATGTGTCCAATAAATTTTGTCTTCATGTTATTTAAAGTGAAGAAACAGGCGTTTTCTGGATACTATAGTGCAGTATAATGCAAAAACCTTAGGGAGCCACCTTAAAATAGTTTTTATTATTATTTCATGATTTTTAAACACAGAATTACTTGTGGTCACTCGTGGTCACTCGTGCTCACTCGTGTGTACTTTAGACAAGATCATGCATGAATAACTTTAAGAAAACAAAGTGCCATATGCATATTTCAATATTACGCTTGATTGACATATATATGTTCAAATTTTGCACATTGTATAACAAAACATAAAATGCTACAATGCCAATATAAAATTATGTATTGCCAACGAAATTTTTCCTTTCTTAAAGAAAATGCCTTTAGTATTTTTCTTTTGCACATAAGTATCGAAAAACGTGCATGCATGGAAAAAATTGGAGTCCCAGCGACACGAAGCATTACGTAATTTTCACCCCTGACTAAAGCCCTGGACAGATGGGCAATTTTTCCTTCATAAATTTTATTTGCTCGTGGCCGTGCGTACGGCAAAAAATTGGCAATTTTTCCTTGCCTACAGGAGCCTTGTTCCAACGCTAGACATGCCAGCTTAGTTTTGGACAAGGAAAATTTGTTCGTGTGTACAAGAAATTCGAAATAGGGCCTACTTCTATGGTTTTGGAACACAATTAGACGGCCTTGACGTGAGATAAATGTTTAACAACATTCCTTGCACACGAGCGTCCAGCAACAAAACATGTTGACCGCACACACGACCAACAAAATTTGTGAAAGAAACTTGTGCTCGTCTGTATTACCTCGTGTACTACTACAGGGCTCAAGTGTTACGAAAATTAATTGGTAAGACGAAACATTTTAATGTATGTACATGCCATAATTTTAAAAATATGTAAAACCTAATTCCCCAAGCCCAGTACGAAATGTAAAAATACGAAATTTAAGAATATCAAACTATTCGACCTGAAATTTTAATATCAGAAACGAGCCCTTTATTAGCGTTTTGAGTGTATGAAGTGTATGACCAGTAGAACAGCTGGTAAAATAAAAAAAAACTCAAACTTGAAAACGTTTTTAAACTTTGTGTTTTGCCGAAATAATACACAGTTGCTGAACGACGCTTAGAGTTGCAACATGGGTCTTGGCTTTAGTTTTCGACTCTTGTATCGAGTCGTTTTCTTTTCCTTCTGTCTGATTTTCGCCTGTTTTTATTATGGTGGTGGTTCAGAGTATGACAGGCGAGAAAATAAAACAGAACAGAACAAATTAAAAGATGAATTCAAAGCTAAACCCTTGAATGTTGACGTTTCTCTTGAACAAGACGAACGCGTCCCTAACTTCACAGAAAATGCAAAACAAATTGATGGCCGCAAGACGTGGAAGAAAACCGATCTTTCAAAGATGATTAGAAAAGGTAAATTTTGAAAATGTGAGAAAGTTAGCATTAAGCACAAGGAGTAATTGTTAACCATAATTTATTTTTAGGAAATGCGATGAAAACACTCGAAAGTAAAACAATACAAAAGAGCCCAGTACTACCTTTTTCAACTTCATCGCCGTCTGAGGTAAAAGTTCCACGCGAAGAATCGACAACCATCTCCCACTCAAATAAGACAGAATGGCAAAACGATAGCATCAAAAATATATCTTCATTGGATAATCAATTTTTTCACCAGAATGACTTGAGAGAAACAGCGAAAAGTGAAACGTTCGCTTCACTCACAACTCAACATCTCCGGAACAAACGTGAAATTGATTCGAAATCTGAGTATACCCAGGAAGATCTATTAATGTGCAACGATTCAACCATCAACGTAACATACGACGATGAATACAAAGTTGGGACTGACTTTTCAATATTCTATAAGAACAAGGTGTACGATTATACTGAGTATCAAGTTCTGAATGATAGCATAAAGATTTGTAACTCCACCGATAAGTTCGTAAGGAATATTTGGAAAGTACGCAATAAGTGGGTAAAGGCGAGCATGCTTCGTAAAAGTTGCAATAAACCCATTAGAATATCTGGGTTGTACCGAGACTATTACATTGTGAATAAGCAGTTCATTGTTTATTCGGGAGGTAATGGTCAATATTTAACACGAAATAACTATTGGGTGGAAGACGGTAAACCTTATACATGCGATGAAAAGTTGAGACCCAAATCAACAGAGTATACCCAGGAAGATCTATTAATGTGCAACGATTCAATCATCAATATAAAATACGATGACGAATACAAAGTTCGGACTGACTTTTCAATACTCTACAAGAACATGGTGTACGATTATGCTGAGTATCGAGTTCTGAATGATAGCATAAAGATTTGTAACTCCACCGATAACTACGTAAAGAATATTTCGAAAGTACGCAATAAATGGGTGAAGGCGAGAATACATAACAAAAGTTGCAAGAAACCCATTAGAGAGTCTTGGTTGAACCGCAAGTATTACATTGTGAGTAAGCAGTTCACTGTCTATTCGGCAGGTGAAGGTCAATATTTCACAAGAAATGAGTATGGAGTGGAAGACGGTAAACCTTCTACATGCGATGAAAAGTTCAAACCCGAATCAACAGAGTATACCCAGGAAGATCTATTAATGTGCAACGATTCAATCATCAATATAAAATACGATGACGAATACAAAGTTCGGACTGACTTTTCAATACTCTACAAGAACATGGTGTACGATTATGCTGAGTATCGAGTTCTGAATGATAGCATAAAGATTTGTAACTCCACCGATAACTACGTAAAGAATATTTCGAAAGTACGCAATAAATGGGTGAAGGCGAGAATACATAACAAAAGTTGCAAGAAACCCATTAGAGAGTCTTGGTTGAACCGCAAGTATTACATTGTGAGTAAGCAGTTCACTGTCTATTCGGCAGGTGAAGGTCAATATTTCACAAGAAATGAGTATGGAGTGGAAGACGGTAAACCTTCTACATGCGATGAAAAGTTCAAACCCGAATCAACAGAGTATACCCAGGAAGATCTATTAATGTGCAACGATTCAATCATCAATATAAAATACGATGATGAATACAAAGTTCGAACTGACTTTTCAATACTCTATAAGAACAAGGCGTACGATTATACTGAGTATCGAGTTCTGAATGATAGCATAAAGATTTGTAACTCCACTGATAACTACTTGAGGAATATTTGGAAAGTACGCAATAAATGGGTAAAGGCGAGAATACATCAAAAAAGTTGCAATAAACCCATTAGAGAGTATGCATGGTTGTATCAAGAGTATTATGCTGTGAATAAGCAGTTCACTGTCTATTTCCAACGGCGCGGTCAATATTTCACAAGAAATGACTATGGAGTGAAAGACAGTAAACCTTATACATGCAAAGAAAAGTTAAAACCGAATCAACAGAGTATACCCAGGAAGATCTATTAACGTGCAACGATTCAATCATCAATATAAAATACGATGACGAATACAAAGTTCGGACTGACTTTTCAATACTCTACAAGAACAAGGTGTACGATTATACTGAGCATCGAGTTCTGAATGATAGCATAAAGATTTGTAACTCCACTGATAACTACGTAAAGAATGTTTCGAAAGTACGCAATAAATGGGTGAAGGCGAGAATACATCAAAAAAGTTGCAAGAAACCCATTAGAGACTCTTGGTTGAACCGCAAGTATTACATTGTGAATAAGCAATTCACTGTCTATTCGGCAGGTGAAGCTCAATATTTCACAAGAAATGAGTATGGAGTGGAAGACGGTAAACCTTCTACATGCGATGAAAAGTTCAGACCCGAATCAACAGAGTATACCCAAGAAGATCTATTAATGTGCAACGATTCAATCATCAATATAAAATACCATGAAGAATACAAAGTTCGGACTGACTTTTCAATACTCTACAAGAACATGGTGTACGATAATAGTGAATATCGAATTCTGAATGATGGCATAAAGATTTGTAACTCCACTAATAACTACGTAAAGAATATTTGGAAATTACGCAATAAATGGGTAAAGGAGACAATGCATGAAAAAAGTTGCAATAAACTATTTAGAACCTTCCGGTTCCCCCGGAAGTATTACACTGTGAATAAGCAATTCACTGTCTATTTGGCACCCAACAGTCAATATTTCACAAGAAATAACTATGAGGTGCACGACGGTAAACCTTATATATGCAGAGAAAAGTTCAGACCCACATCAACAGAGTATACCCCGGAAGATCTATTAAAGTGCAACGATTCAATCATCAATATAAAATACGGTGATGAATACAAAGTTTGGGATAACTTTTCAATTCTCTACAAGAACATGGTGTACGATTATTCTGAGTATCGAGTTCTGAATGATAGCATAAAGATTTGTAACTCCACTGATAACTACCTACGGAATATTTGGAAATTACGCAATGACTGGGTAAAGGAGAGAATGCATAAAAAAAGTTGCAATAAACCCATTGGAGGGTCTTCGTTGTATCGAGAGTATTACATTGTGAATAAGCAGTTCACTGTCTATCTCGCAGCTACGAGTCAATATTTCACAAGAAATGAGTATGGAGTGGAAGACGGTAAACCTTCTACATGCAATGAAAAGTTAAAACCCGAATCAACAGAGTATACCCAGGAAGATCTATTAATGTGCAACGATTCAATAATCAATATAAAATACGATGACGAATACAAAGTTCGGACTGACTTTTCAATATTCTACAAGAACATGGTGTACGATTATACTGAGTATCGAGTTCTGAATGATAGCATAAAGATTTGTAACTCCACTGATAACTACCTACGGATTATTTGGACAGTACGTAATGACTGGGTAAAGGAGAGAATGCATCAAAAAAGTTGCAATAAACCCATTCGAGAGTCTTCGTTGTATCGAGAGTATTACATTGTGAATAAGCAATTCACTGTCTATCTCGCAGCTACGAGTCAATATTTCACAAGAAATGAGTATGGAGTGGAAGACGGTAAACCTTCTACATGCAATGAAAAGTTAAAACCCGAATCAACAGAGTATACCCAGGAAGATCTATTAATGTGCAACGATTCAATCATCAATATAAAATACGATGACGAATACAAAGTTCGGACTGACTTTTCAATACTCTACAAGAACATGGTGTACGATTATACTGAGTATCGAGTTCTGAATGATGGCATAAATATTTGTAACTCCACTGATAACTACGTAAAGAATATTTGGAAACTACGCAATAATTGCGTGAAGGCGAGTATACAACAAAAAAGTTGCAAGAAACCCATTAGAGAGTCTAGGTTGAACCGCAAGTATTACATTGTGAATAAGCAGTTCACTGTCTATTTCGCAGCTACGAGTCAATATTTCACAAGAAATGACTATGGGGTGCGCGACGGTAAACCTCATACATGTGATGAAAAGTTCAAAACCAAATCAACAGAGTATACCCGGGACGATCTATTATTGTGCAACGATTCAATCATCAATATAAAATACGATGATGAATACAAAGTTCGGACTGACTTTTCAATACTCTACAAGAACATGGTGTACGACTATACTGAGTATCGAGTTCTGAATGATGGCATAAAGATCTGTAATTCCACTGATAACTACGTACGGAATATTTGGACAGTACGCAATAAATGTGTAAAGGAGAAAATGCATCGAAAAAGTTGCAATAAACCCATTCGAGAGTCTTCGTTGTATCGAGAGTATTACATTGTGAATAAGCAGTTCACTGTCTATCTCGCAGCTACGAGTCAATATTTCACAAGAAATGAGTATGGAGTGGAAGACGGTAAACCTTCTACATGCGATGAAAAGTTAAAACCCGAATCAACAGAGTATATCCAGGAAGATCTATTAATGTGCAACGATTCAATCATCAATATAAAATACGATGACGAATACAAAGTTCGGACTGACTTTTCAATACTCTACAAGAACATGGTGTACGATTATACAGAGTATCGAGTTCTGAATGATAGCATAAAAATTTGTAACTCCACTGATAACTACCTACGGAATATTTGGACATTACGTAATGACTGGGTAAAGGAGAGAATGCATCTAAAAAGTTGCAATAAACGCATTCGAGAGTCTTCGTTGTATCGAGAGTATTACATTGTGAATAAGCAGTTCACTGTCTATCTCACAGCTACGAGTCAATATTTCAAAAGAAATGACTATGGTGTGCGCGACGGTCAACTTTCAATATGCAAAGAAAAGTTGAGAACTATATCAACAGAGTACACCCAGGAAGATCTATTAATGTGCAACGATTCAATCATCAATATAAAATGCGATGATGAATACAAAGTTCGGACTGACTTTTCAATACTCTACAAGAACATGGTGTACGATTATACTGAGTATCGAGTCCTGAATGATAGCATAAAGATTTGTAACTCCAGTGATAACTACGTAAAGAATATTTGGAAAGTACGCAATAAATGGGTAAAGGCACAAATGCATCGAAAAATTTGCAACAACCCCATTATGTCCTTCTCGTTAATCAGAGCGTATTACACTGTGAATAAGCAGTTCACTGTCTATTTCGCAGTTACGAGTCAATATTTCACAAGAAATGACTATGGGGTGTACGACGGTAAACCGTATTTATGCGATGAAAAGTTCAAACCGGAATCTTTGTTAACAAAGTATAGCCAGAAAGATCTATTAATGTGCAACGATTCAATCATCAATATAAAATACGATGACGAATACAAAGTTCGGACTGACTTTTCAATACTCTACAAGAACATGGTGTACGATTATACTGAGTATCGAGTCCTGAATGATGGCATAAAGATTTGTAACTCCACTGATAACTACGTAAAGAATATTTGGAAATTACGCAATGACTGGGTAAAGGGAGGAATGCATCAAAAAAGTTGCAATGAACCCATTACATACATTCAGTTCGACCGACAGGAATACACTGTGCTTAAGAATTTTAGAGTTCTGATTTTGGCAACAAAGAAGCTGATAACGAAGTATGATTATGCTGTGTTTAAAGGTAAAATTACAACATGTGTGACCGAATGCGCCAAATTTACTTTTACTATAATGTATGAAGGTGAATACAAAGTATGGAACAACTTCTCAATGATGTACCAAGGTCGAATGTACTCTTATGATGAGTACAGAATAACGGATGATGGTCTACAAATTTGTAATTCTTCTGACCGTCTCATTAAAGAAAAATGGCGGAATTTCATTGTTTCGGAAAAGATAACGATAGCTTTCAAACATTGTAATGTATCTGTGGACGGTTTTTACTCCGAAAATTACACATTACATACAAACTTTACTGTTTTTTTCAAACCTACCAATCAAAATTTTACAAGGCAAGATTACGGAGTGATTTTGGGGTATTTTGCAATTTGTTCAAGAAAGCTCAGATTGTCCTGCAATGATGATTTGGTCAAAGTAAAGTACGGTGAACAATACAACGTTTTTAAAAACTTTTCAGTGGTTCACAACAAAAAAATATACGATTATCGCGAATATCGATTCAGCCACGACAGTCTTGAAATGTGTGGTTCCAATGATTCAAGAGTTCAGGCGATTTGGAGAACGCGAAATTCGTGGCAAAAGTCGTTACCCGCATCCTGTTATCGTTCTTATAAATTAAATGAAAGATACTACATTGTGTCAAAGCAGTTTGCTGTGTATTCGGCAGATAACGGTCAATATTTCAAAAGAAATGACTATGCGGTGATAGACGGTAAACCTTATGTATGCGGCAAAGAAAACCTAAGACCAATTGACGTAATTTCAAACTTTAAGATTATTATAGCACCATTATGTGCTTTAGCGCTTTCTATTATTTCTTTGCTATTGTTGTTGATAGTTTACTGCATGCTTCCAGAACTGCGCACACTTCCTGGTTTGAATTTAATGAGTTTTAGTTTCGCCTTGCTGTTGTGGCAGACTTACCTTGTAGTATTTTTGTCACTGTATTCTCATGTAGGTAAACTGTTTGAGATACCGTGTGCTAGGCTGTTTGTAGTAAATAAGTTTATGACGTATGGCATAATTATGAATGCTGCGGTTAATATCTATCACTTAAGAAAAACCTTTTGCGGCAATACTCTAGTGAAATCTGATGAACTGAAGAAGTGGAACAGATTTTTGAAGTATAGTTTCTTTAGCTGGGGAGTTCCCGTCATTATAACGATTGTTTACATTGTACTAGTAAAGAAAGATGTTCTAAGGTTTGATCAACATAATGCATCTGTGAAGAACGCTGTTCAGTCGAGTTTAAAGTTTTATCGACACGTATTTGCGAATGGAAATCATGAAAATGCAACGGGAAATGAAATTAGGATTTATCAACGTATTGCATCCTTCAAGAAAAATATCCAGTCAAAGTTTAATCAAAGCACTGTCCCTTGGAAGGAAGATGCGACGGAAGATGATGCAAGGATTTATCAACCTATTGTATCTTTGAAGAAAGACGTTCAGTCAAGCTTAAAGTTTTATGAACGCATTGTATTTGCGAATGGAAATGGGAAGGATGATGACGCAAGGATGTATCAACAAATCTCTGGAGATTGTATCAATGGTCGAATTACTCCCGATTGGTCAACTGCTGTTGATGTATATTGCCTTCAAGGTAGTCTGTTGTTGTACATTATTGGAATGTTCATCCTCACTGCTTATCGAATTCGCCAAAAACTCAAGGCAAGCGGAAACATTGCACAGAAATCGAATATTGTTAAGCGTCGTAAATTTGTCATATTGCTCAAGCTATCAACCACTACAGCCTTAAGTTATTGGTTTCCTCTCTTCATATCCAGAATCGTGGATTTTGATTTCGACATAAAGATAGCGTTGTATACTGTAACGTTGCTTACTGGTGCCTACATTGGTATTGCGTTTGTATTCACACAAAGAAATTATCAGTTGCTCAAGAAAAAATATTTCCCAGCAAAGAATAAGCCGCCAGTTAGGCCTAACGAAATTCCGTTGAATAGATTATAGTGGAAGAAAGTCGCTTGTATAAGTGTAAATAAGTAAGCAAGCAAGTTAAGCTGGCCAGTATTACTATATAAAGAAAACATGTGTGTATATAGAGCAAGTATAATTAAACAGCAATCAATAAACAGTGATTAATTTGAAATCTAGCCTGTAATCATGTACATCACTTGTAAAAAATGCAATGTATTCTACGCAAAGTGAAAATGCTTAAAATATATAATGCTATTAATTTAAAAAGTATGTATACATTGTATTTTAGAAGTTTGAAATAAAGTACATAAAAAAATGCAAAATTTCTATCTCATTTTGTTTTCAAGGAGGGGAGCCCCGTCAGTCTCCACCCTGTTGAAAATCTCAGTAAATTTCTGCAACCCAGGAGGTTGATAAATCTGCCTTAACCTAAATCTGCTCACACGAGTTTCATTTAGCGGGAGTTCTCTATAATCTATATAATAATTTGAGTTCAATCTGCCACACTTCTTGGTTGGAGAGCCATGATCTACTACAGGACAAACTCACGGATGACGTCATTTCAGTGAAGCGATATTCCTAACGCTTACCCAAGCACATGCAACACCTCTTTCAGAGACACCAGTGAAGTGGTTGTTTTTTACTTTTGTTTTGATCATGAATCATGTCCGACTTAGCATGTATATCTCTGTCCATCGCGCTTCAAAGCCCCAAAACATGAGAGTCTTGCACTTTAATGGTTAACGCTGTGTGCCGCCGATGTGCACATCGCTTTTGCAGAAATAGTAAATAAAATTTTTGCATATTTTTTTCCAAACGATGTGCAAACTTTGTTGTTAAACTCGACCAAATTTGGTATTTTGTTCCTTATTTTATTATTATAATAGAATAATATCTAGAAAGTAGAGTATACTGAAATCCTTTCAAAAGTAGGCACAAAATTGGCCACGAAACGGCCGCCATTTTGCCAGTGTTTCCGCTTTCCCGTTCTAATTCAAACTCTGGTACCATATAAAACAAATAGATATTATTTTACCTTATTCTGAACATTTATGGATATTCAGAGGACTTCATAACGTGGTATAAGAACATCCATGACTCGCCCCAGCAGCTGGTAGAGACATTCTCCAACTTATGACGTCATACTGTGTATCTATAACTAAACAAACCAATTGAAGGTACAGCATTGCGTTTCGATCACCCCATAGATGAACCAGATAATCTGGAATTTTCAGTTTCACAGTTGGAACACGGATCCGGTCAAAAATAGCTGGGAAATGTGAATTAGAGAAAATTTGGCGGGGAAATGGGATTTAGACCCCTCTCTCCCCCCCCCCCGCGCTATCTCAGAATCATCTTCTGAAATTAACCATTTGCTGCCCCGTAAATGTCGATTGAAACCCATATAGTAATGGTAATAAACTAATAATAAATTTTCTGAGCCAGAATACCTTCCCATTAGTCTACTTTTATTGCTTATTCTTGGCCATAAAACCATTTATCTCAATCAATACTTATTTGGAATGTCAATTAAATATACATCTATGAAATTTAAATACAGTGAATTATAGGAAATTTAGTGCATATGCAAAGTTTGATAAATATTACTATAACAAACGCTCAGTTGTCCCTTGTTTCCCCCCATTATCCCATTATACGTGAACAATCGCCCGTGCGTTTTCTTTGAGTGACGTACAGGCACAGGAAAAAAAATTAAATTTCCATGAATGCATTTTTGAATGTAAAAACTGAACTCCTGCCATTGTTGGTTATTATAGATTTTCCATCTGGTAAATTAGTATAAACCATGATGTTTAATAGTTACCAGGAAAATTCCATTAATGGTAAATATTAAACATCCTGGTTTTACCAATTTACCAAATGAGAAATTAAATCTTTAATAACCAATAATGGTTTTTATATTGATAGTACACATGGTAAATTTTGACAAATCATTCAAAAATCATTAATTAGTGACGGGCGCCAAAAACAATGAACGCTTCGCCCGCGCGGGCAAAGCGAACGTTAATGGATAATGGCCTTAAAATTGGTCGCTCCGCCCGCGCGGGCAAAGCGACTGCAATGGAAAAGGGCCTTAATAGGAACATGAACGCAATATGTCTGTTTCAAAACAGTATTCTCTGAACACTTAAATACTCCGTGTGGGCACGAAAACGAGGCTTGCGGTCAAATCTGATGCATAGTACTATGTGACTGCAATTTGCTCAATTTCATCAATGGTTTATGAACTATTTATCTAGCTTTAAAATATTATGCTTCCACTGGTATTTTTTAAACTATTATTCGTGACAAGTGTCTGAAGGCTGTGAAGCAAGTGAAAAAGATCTTCGACTACTATGAATACTAAAACCCGACAAAAAACTGTTTAATTAAGAAGACAAGTAATACGGGTGAATTACTTGACAGTTTTGTTGCTAACATGCACTTGGTTGCCCACAGCAAAAATTCAACGGAGCTTTTGAAAGTTGAGTACCACACTTATACCGATGAAAAACGCCTTATTAAACGTATACAATGCCACGCAATGTGTCGTTTGATGATTGCCAACAAATTTTTTTGCCTTTCCTTTGCATATAAAGGAAAATATACATGAAAAAATAGGGTTGTTACCGTCCTTGTTTTCCAACGACAACAAGCTTTCTATAAAACTCCCTGTTGAGAGCAAATCTGGTAATATTTTACCCCCCCCCCCCCCA